GAGTTTGGCTCATATGCAGATAGCTTTAATTCTTTAGACATTGATGGAGTCTATGTTGATGGTGTCTCAATTACTTATGGTAGCAACCCACGCAAGCATATCTGGACCTATGCTGCTGGTTATGCAGAAGACAAGTCTTCTGATGGTTCCTCATGTCCTTGCATTACTGAATATGGTGGGGAGCCTACACCAGATTTTGTCAGCAATCATTATTATTGTGAGGCTGGAACAATAAATGCCAATCTTACCGATGGTAGACTGTACCCTGATGATCCACTGTGGGATGGGCTGCAGTGCAGTATGTTGGAGTCTCCTTGTTGTATTTCTACTGGTATGTCGTGGTTTGTTAGGTCAATAGTCAATTCAACTGATGATGATATTGAGCTGAGGGTGTGTAGCAGTGAAGGGTATCCTGATGAAGCCCTCCAATTGATATTATTGAACTATACATTCGCTGATGTAATCACATTAAGTTTTAATCTTTCCCCCCCCCTCTGCATAATTATTTTGTTTTTTTAATCTTGAGTGAATAACAAAGTCAAGTTTTAGGAAATAAATGCACTTTTGTAAATATAAATAAAATGCACTTCTGGCTATATGCATGTTATACCAGTAATGTAGCTTTCATGTACGTTTACATCTATATGTACATGATCGGTATAATGAATTATGAAATCAAAAACCCAACATCAAAGGAATGATTGCTTAGTACCTTGTTGCTGCAAAATTGGGCTGGAAGGTGAAGGAGACTGTATTTCTGACTTTGTGTATATAAGTCATGGAAAGTTCTGTTGTCAAGACCTTAAGGTCAGATAGTATCAATCTTAACCTTTCCTTGTTATGAGCATGTTTTATTCAAAACTATTATTGTAGTTAGGTGTAGCACCAGGATTATAGTGTGTATCAAGTTAACTTATTTTCTCAATTGTATTAATTTTATTGATGTCTTAACAATTATTATTATTTAAAAAATAATAATTAATATAAATATTATAAATCAATCAATCGATATCATTGTCACTATTCTCTTGATCACTCTCTCCTCCTCCCTCTCTGTTAATAGCAAGTCTGATAGTCTCCAGGAGTGTCCTAACTGAGTCTGTCAATTGTCCAATGGCTTCTTCAAGTCTTTCTCTACCTGCACCACCTCCAATAGCTCCTCCTGCTGGTACTTCCTCAGCCTCTTGTTCAGGTATACCAGCAACTCTCTGTCTTGGAGCTGGGGCCTGGGTATTGGAATGTAGAATGGGAGTATCAGACTGAAATATTGAGGAATGAAAATATGAGCATGGAAAGTATCTACATAAAAACCTGAATGACTAAGCATTAATAAGATTAGTTGAATAACTACATGTAGTTCTAACTGTATGGTGCTGTATTGTGCTACGCATAATCTGAAACAATTCTGATCATGATACCTATAGAGTTGTGGCAATTCAAAACATTCAAATATGGCCAAAAACAGCTGAGAGACTTGAAACACATTATGATCATGACATTGATGCACATTATTGTGTCTTTCAGTTGTAAGTGTGTGTGTTTCCAGTACCTCCATGTTAAAACTTGGTAATAAAGATCTTAAAAATAATGCCAACGGATGACTCTCATCATTTTCTAACGGATTACATCTCCTGCAACAAGAAAGGATAATAAAGATTACTAATACTGCTACTGCCAGTAATAATAACTGTCATTGTTTAATTTCATCACTCACAGCTCAACATTAATGGAGAAAAATCAGAGCATAAAAATACTTGTACATGTACCTATAAATCACTACCATACACTTCATTCATTTAATAAGCGTTTTAATATTTTAAACAATTAATTTAAAAGTACTACATTTACTTTTTTGAAGGACACTTGTAGCCCCGAGTGCTGTCCTCGGGTGGTAGGGGGTCATACATCATTATTGAGGTTCTTGTAATTTCCTAATAATACCAGAACCAGTATGAGGGGTCCATTAACATCCTTTCTCTTACTTGTGGCAGTGAAGTGCTCACTGATTCGAGGTCTGAGAGGACAACATGACGATAAATGTTTTTTGGAGTACCAACATAGCACCTCAGTCTCCTAATTAATTACGAAAAGTATTAATCATTAGAAAGAGATTGTTCATATTTTACTTTTCAGAGCACTGCTTGACAAGAGGGTCCCCATTGCTCACTCTTTCTATAACAACTTTGACATTCTTCTCCAACCATGACAGAACCTACATAATACAGACAAACCATTGGCTGGCCAAACTCCTCACTCATAAAAGCATGCTAAGTGAGCTAAACAGGATGGGATTCATGAGTTTGACTCCCTGTATTACAGTACAGGGACTTTGGACAATTCTTTTTATCAAAAATGACTAGGAGTATAGAGACTTTGGTCTGATTTTGGAGCAATTTTAGAAAATCATAAAAAATTCAATTAGTAACGCGGTAGCGTTATTAGTAACGCGGTAGCGTTACTAAGTAGGATTCACCCCCAAACAAAATGGCTGCCACGACTTTTGCAGCCTTGCTATACCGGGAAAACGAGCTCCTATGCTTACCAGACTTTATAGAGGACCTTATCTTGACCAGAGGACTCCATTGGTACCCATAGCGTGGCTCTAGACCTTGTATAAGAGAAAAGCCAAAAATCGGCGTACTGGCCGTTTTGTTCAGCCACCTTTTTTCATCTTCATCATCATCATCATCATCAAGAAAGTTAGTCCTGTCAATCCAGTTGTCGGTGTGTATCTCAGTATCAGTTGGTGCTACAAGGATAATTCGTACACCAATCTACTCCAACGGTCTATGCGCAGGTCCATGTCCCATCAGATCATTCTTCAAGTAAAGAAAAAGTGATACTGCCTGACTAGGATAGAGCCATCTTAGCTGCATGCCGCCATTTTGTTAATTAAAGAAGCATGTGCTCCAAAATTTGGGTGTGGTCGCGCATGCTCAGATCTGCAGCTCTGGAAGAAGCACTGAAGCAATTTATTTCTATGCTTGGAATCAACTACTGCAATACTTTAGTGGAGGTTTCCAGCTAAAAGAAGGTATTAATCTTACATGTTACTATTTTATCAAGTGTGTGATTTTATTTTATTTTAAAAAACAAACAATTAATTAATGTTATGATATGCAATGATAATATGAAAGACAACAGCCTGGAAGAACAGGAATAGATGCAAAATTGTAGGGAAGATGGACACTCTCAGCTCACAGCTTCTTGAACAAGGACTTGTGTCAAGACTAGTATTAATTTCACTTGTCATCAGGATAGTTGATATTCCTTCAGCATATGTCTATTCAATGCTGTCTCTCAGTCATAAATGACTATGTAAAGTCATAACAATGATAATAATAATAAAGAAAATTATTGTTTGTGTAAAATCAACAAGCATCACAATGGCAACTAAAGAAATATTATAAATATCATAAAAAAATTAACACAAACAAGAACATAAAAAATTAAAAAAAACAAGGTTAAGTAGGATTCCGAATGACCAACGAAAATACAAAATCAAAATCCTACTCGTGACGCAAATTCTACTCTACATTGCAAAGTGATCCGTAATTCTTACATAATAAGATTGAAAGTACAATGTAGAGTAGAATTTGCGTCA